CATTTTAAACCTGAAAGCAATTTTTAAGGTGGAGAGCTGCTCTTATTAACTTTATTGCGGATAATTAAAAAGTTGCTAACATCTTACTTTCAAATTAATGTTGGCAGTCAATATTGTCAGCCTGGGCTATTTACACATATTTACGTTTAATGTAGTGATACGGCTTTACTGATTTGCCACAAAAATTGGAATGCCAAATCTCGGAACTTTATTTATTTCAAATGGCAGGCGTTTTGATAGCTATCATTAGCCATTTAGCAGACTTCGGGCTTCACAGAGGGAAGGTTCATCAAAGTAGCAGAAAGTCGATGGGTGGGGAACAGAAGAGCGATTCGCAGATGTAAAAGAGGCAGACAGACACAAAGGTAGAGAAAAAGGTAAGATGAGTACTGTGGAAGGGGTCGAATATGGCAAGCAGTAGGGCCATGGTAGTTTGAAGTGAAAAGTCAACTGCCGGTTAATCGACTTTTTTGCCGTATGAGTATACGTTGCCCAGGGTGCACCACGTGGAGGTAAGTCTATCACACACCCCATCTCGGAACTTCAAAGTGTGTTCATTTTTATTAATTCGGGTGGTTTTTCATGCTATTTATAACANATGAAAACCAGGGGGGTCGTGGTAGTTTGAGGTCAGAGGTCAACTGNCAATAATGGGTGTGTGGTCCTAGATAATAAATTGGACATTTTAAACCTGAAAGCAATTTTTAAGGTGGAGAGCTGCTCTTATTAACTTTATTGCGGATAATTAAAAAGTTGCTAACATCTTACTTTCAAATTAATGTTGGCAGTCAATATTGTCAGCCTGGGCTATTTACACATATTTACGTTTAATGTAGTGATACGGCTTTACTGATTTGCCACAAAAATTGGAATGCCAAATCTCGGAACTTTATTTATTTCAAATGGCAGGCGTTTTGATAGCTATCATTAGCCATTTAGCAGACTTCGGGCTTCACAGAGGGAAGGTTCATCAAAGTAGCAGAAAGTCGATGGGTGGGGAACAGAAGAGCGATTCGCAGATGTAAAAGAGGCAGACAGACACAAAGGTAGAGAAAAAGGTAAGATGAGTACTGTGGAAGGGGTCGAATATGGCAAGCAGTAGGGCCATGGTAGTTTGAAGTGAAAAGTCAACTGCCGGTTAATCGACTTTTTTGCCGTATGAGTATACGTTGCCCAGGGTGCACCACGTGGAGGTAAGTCTATCACACACCCCATCTCGGAACTTCAAAGTGTGTTCATTTTTATTAATTCGGGTGGTTTTTCATGCTATTTATAACACGCTGTTTTAACAGATCAGGACAGTCTTGTAATTGCTCCTATTACCGAAGTAAGACAATAAGAATGGGATACGTTCAATTAGACGATAACTCCTAACAAGTGAACAATCTCCTTCATTTTATAAATTTATTTTTTTTTCTATATGCCATTGGATTATATAGTTTACTGCATGGTTATCCATACATTGGAGTAATGATGAAACAGCACATCCTGACTCAAATGTAGAAACCTAATAACCGAATGAATTGTCATGAAAATTCATTAAAATGCACAAAGAATATTCCCTTTAGGTTCCTATCGGCTTGGTTGGGGAATTTCATCTTGATGGCCTCATTTGTATTCTCAATGCAGTAAAAAACGTGTTACTTTCTACATTCCTGTAGACCAGGACATACGTAGTATTAGGTTAGAGCTATTAAAAATACAAAGATTTTCCCTCCGTGCACATGGAATGACTAAAATGAGTCAAATTGAGAGAAGGCAAACAATGCAATCGATGTAACAAGTACCTAGGCGTAAAAAACTGGAGAAAGAAGTTCCCTGAAGTTAATGTGTCATTTGGGGTCTTGACAGCAATCAAAAATATTTGGACCCTGGTTAGCTCACCTTCCTACCAGAAAGGGTAAAATATTTGCAGTGTTGAGGACAAAATTTCGCAATTCCATCAGGAAATAGTAAGTGCGGTTTAGTAGAATTAAATAAAATTAGAATTTTCTTAGTTCGTTCCGTAACCGGGTTTTAACTACCAAGTGGTGAGCAATTAAAAACAGAAAATTTTTTTTCAAACAAATGCTCTCCTTCTCAAATTGCTGAGGAGTCATCTCGTCATATCATTTTCGGCAGCGAATGAAGGTTCATTATCGAAAACCATCACAGTTCAACCAATTTCATCATGACTAGAAGAATCCTCTTCGGACTTTATGCAAGTCAGGTCATCGGTTGTTCTGCGACCTGTGCTTTCCACCCTGTCTCAAGTTGTCTCATCGGAAGAGAAACAGATTGTTTGTGCTTCAGTGAGATGTTCCACTTTGCTCAGAAGTTTCTCCACCTTTGTCAGTCGACGATTGTCACCAGTCTTTCTGTGAGAAGTTGCCCTCTGCGATAATTGTACGTTTGTTTCTTGGGGTAGAAAGAACCGACGCCACCCACTTAGGAATTAAGACCAACAGATAGAAGTTAATAGTGCACAACCGCAAATCGCAAATCAAGAAGAGCACTAATAGTTGTGTGCCGATTAATGTCTATTGATGAGTAGTAGTGATAATAGGAGAGAATCGGTGGGGTGGGGGGTGGTGTGGCAGTTAAAGAAAAATAAGATTCGACAACTACGTCTGGGCAAAGCAAATAGGAGTTTGAGTCATAGGGACATGAAAAATTGTTACAGTTTTGTGTGAACTGGGTCTCACCTGAAGAAAAGAATGTCTTCTGCTTCTTCAGACCGCCTGTGAAATGTTCCTTTCTGCTAAAACAGCTTAGTAGCCTCCTTTGCAATTCTCCAATTCCTGTTGGAATGTTCTACAGTGTTATTGCAGTAATGTGAAGCAAACTTAGTTTCTTTATTTTGTAGATTGATGAGAACTATCAGGACGCAGCACAGTCTCTACCATGGTTCAGATGGCTTTCAGTCATCATACATTCACATTGCTGTCATGTAGATAAATAAAGAAGGTTTAGCCCACTTAAGGGAAGCGTAGTGTGTGTGAAAACACCTGTGATACATTTGAGAAAACAATCATGTATTATTCTATGAAATTTGTCCCAAACTCCTTCCAGATGGGTGGTTAATTAACACGGAGTTTCTTATTGGCTGGCGGATCATAAGCGCAACTGCTCCACTTCGACATAGCGGCACTAAAGATAATTGTGGAAGTAAAACAGCTGATAATTTTAAATCACAAGCTTCCTCTCACTTCCGAGCATGATTTGCCAATCTATCGTTTAGTGTACCCGCGTCAAGCTGCAAGTTTATAAAAATTTAAGATCTTCAATGAAGCTTTGGCTTCGAGAAGTCTCTTATAAAATTTCTCATAGCACACACATGGATAAAGCTTAGTAAAGCTTATTTGCATTACTTTACCTTACTTCTTTGAGGTAGTTGGAAAATGGGAAAATTGCATGTAAAGTCTGAAAGTCAACAAACCATTTAACAGGTAATAAGAACAAAGAAATAATTCAAGTAGGAGTGTCTGGACAGCCACGCCTAAGTTATTATGAATGTTTTGATTATTTATGCAGTAATGCATACTTGAGTTAATTATCATCTGTTTTGCTGTCCTAGCAAAATGTTAGGACTAAGAGTTTTAATATATTTTATGCCATTTGAGTCAAAATGGATGAATTATCATTGACATGTGGTTTTTCGCCTAGATCCTTTATAAAAGAGAATAGTGCTACTTAAGTGAAACGGAGTTTCTGTAGGATCAGTCATTTTCGTAGACCACACTGCAAAGACAGTGCTTTAAAATATTTTCTACATATACCTAAAATTCTTAAGGAAATTTACAGCTATTAATAACTTTGTTTTATGAATATTTTATATAGAATGCTGCCTTTTTGATTCACATTACAGCACTTGAATTTGAGCGGAGTCACATGGAGTGATAATTCGATCTGTTCATAAATACAGATTAACGAGATGGGTGGACTTCCATCAAAGTGAAGCAAAGCATAAATAAATTCTCATCCTCTCATATAATTATATGAACTTCTAGTACACAGATGGCCTTGATTTGATTTGGAGAAAGTATGAACAGGTACCATTGGCTTGTGCTATTATGCCTCCTCCGTACTAATAAAGTTAAGCTTACTAAGTGAAGATACATAAGTAAAATCAGCTGTCTTTAATTTTAGAGGTCTATACGAGCCAGATATTTTATTAGAATATTTAGCAGATATTCCATAGTCATTTAAACCCATAAATTCATGCAGTTGGCCGTAGAGCGCAATGACAATCTTTGAAGTAAAGCATATATTATTCAACATTTGGAAAGTAGTACTATTAAGCCTAGAAGTAAAGTGGCCGTACAAGGTTCTGAGTAAAATTAAGTCGTTAGGAGTAAAATTTGTATGATTCAAGTACTCTCTTTTTCACTCGGGAGCAGAACAGATTAATTTGGAAAACAAGCTCTCGTTTTTACACTCGATATGAAAATATGGTTGCTTTCGGTTTTCAACATAACCTTACAAAGCTATAAATAATAATTGGCCTCAAGAAATTTTTCTGGAAATCAATAAAGAGACTAATGAGAAGCTTTTGTCTAAATAAAATAGATTTTTACACATTTGTTTCAGTACATATACAATCTTTATTAAAGTCAGAATATCGTTGAAATTTCTCACAAACTTTAAAGTCATTTATCAATACCAATAAAATCGAAAAATGTGAATAGAATAATGCAAAGATTGATACACAAAACTCAAGTAATATATAAATTAATATTATCTATTACAGTTAAACATATAGTGCTAAACTACTCAAACACAATTTACTACTTTAAAATACTTTTTGCGCTAGTTAACTTAAGGTACTAATACATTACACACAATCATTCGGTGTTGACTACAAAGAACGTTAAGTGGCGACAGACTTGCTTAAATAGTATATCAAAATAAAATACATACATAGTCATAGAGGTTAAGGTTTTTCTAAGAATTCATAATTGAACAAAACAAAGCTTTGTTATAAGTCGTTATATAACCCCGCCTTATTTAGAGCGCAAAAAATGGTTGATAAAATTTCCGCGGATGATAAGGTATGCTTTCTTAGTTGCAACTGATTTCATTGATCAAATTCGCTGATCTTGTTGTTACTTTCATAGGCCGAATTAGGCGCAAGCCTTGTTTTGCTCGCTCCGCCCAAGCAAACAAAAGAGGTAGTCAAGGGTAGGTCTCAAATTTTTATTTATCAAATTCTCTTAGATGTTAAGGTCTTAGTCGGTGATAATCCTGCGATTGAAAGGAAAATTCTAAGGTTTGTTAAAATGCGTTACTTAATGCATGTAGTGCTCTTCTGACTTATGCCAAGGAACAAACTATTCAAGTTACTCTACCCGGGAGCTCAGTGAATACGCTTGTTACCGAAGATGGTGATCTTGGTAGCGGCAGGTTTCTCTGTCCTAGATCACACCAGTCCTTCAGACTTGATGCTTTTACTCATGCTGCTGACGAGGTCTCCCCACTTCCTCCAAATGACAGAGATGGTGGCAGTATCAAATTAGAATCGTGGAGATTGGCAATCGAAGAAGCTCTAACTCACTACATGGGCCAAAATTTTCCCCATGGTGCTGTCTCTGTATTTGCTCCTTGCAAATCTAAGAGCCCTTATATTGCCATTTTCATCGAATCAAGCTTCCAGAAAACTAGACTGTGCGAAATCCATATTTTAAGGATTTATTTTTTTGGAATTTACTTACACTCTTTTCCTTACTTTATTTAGATCTGGTCGTTGGAGATCTCGATGGACTGTAACCGTGCCCGGCGAAATTGAAGGTGCCACCTGTAAAGTTTCTGGTGAAATCCGAATTCAGGTTTGTACATTTTTGTTCTCAAACTCCTTTTTCTTTCTTTCTTTACATTTCGATTTCCTTTATTGTAGACTCACATGTTCGAAGAAGGAAATGTCCAGCTTCTCTCCTCCAAAACCTTTGAATTTGATGTGGAAGCAAAGTCCCCTGAATCGCTGGGTCAAGATCTGGCCAAGAAGATTACTAATTGTGATGCTACTTATCAGGTTCTTGCTTAGTTTATAATAATTCTTTAAAAAACCTGCTGCTTCTTAAGAAGCATATCTAGGGTTACTGTATGTAGTTATGTTTGTGTGATTATAATAGGTTTGCCACTATCCTGTGCTGATCATTTCTTTTGTGTGTGTGCGTATTCATGCAAATCCACACGTGTTATTTTTGTCGTATGTATCGATTACTAGTCCCTTGCTTTCCATGTTGCGTTAGGGTGTTTGTCAAAACTTTACTGTTTCTTCGTTTTAATTTTGATCTGTTCGTTTTCACTTTATTTTTCTGTATTGCTTTGTATTACAATGCATTTTCGGCTCATCTAAATTTAAAATACTCTACGTAATGTGAAAACCTGTTGGTTGTAAACAAAATTCCTGTGTGAAATGTCTCATGGCTTATTACAAAGTAGTGTAAAATTAGCATATTTTATTTTGTCTAGAGCTTGAACCACTATTAATGTCTCTATTTGATTATTTGAGCTAACAACTTCTTAAGAATTGCAGAATACTGGTTTCTGATCCCATAGAGCCTTTATTATTTCTACCTAGCTGTTGGAATGCACTTTCGACCAAGACTTTCGGTCAACAAATTGCTGATCTGTACATTAGGGTGTAATTTCCACTTTTAATATGGATGTTTAATTAGTCAATAAAACAGAGGGTCATTTTACAATTGGCAATTTGAAACTTTAATGGCATTATAAGGCGCAAATAGTTTGCTATTGAAAGTTGCCGACTTCTACTTTATTTATACCCCAGTCAATACCAAGTCTATGCAAAAATGCCTGGTTGATATGTCTGCAAAATTTATTATAGCTCTTTTTGTATTTTGTTTCATAACTTAGGATAGCGCTCTCCGTTGAAGAGATGGATGGGATGGTTTGACCTTGCCAATAATCTCTAGTCTAGACAATCGAAATATCTTTGCGGTTATTGCTCCTTATTATTTAAATGAGCACCAAAATCACGTGATGTGTTTTTATTTATTTCAAATGGCAGGCATTTTGATAGTTATCATTAGCCATTAAGCTGGCTTCTCACTTCAAACTTCCATGATCCCACTGTATGTCATATTCCACCACTTCCACTCTGACTTTATGTTTGTCTGTCTCTTTTACATCTGTGAATCAATCATCTGTTCCCCACCCAAATCTCCTAATGTATCTTAAAGCTATTCATTCATTAGATTTGAAGTTTGTTCCAAGTTGTAGCCCGAAAGGGCTTCTTATACTTATCCTATTTGATTTGATATATTTACTGAGAAACGTTCACCTTGTTTTATATTAAGTTGTTCGATCGCTCATCTTGATTGGTAGATGTGCACTGCTGGGTTTTTACCTTGTTTCTTCTGATTTTGAAGTCATTCGTTATTTTAATAACTTGACGCAGTAATAAATTT